CATAAATGAAAATAAACACACCAATTGAGTCAATTATTAGTCTGGGAACATATTAATGTTAACTTCAGTCTTTGTATTGCATATCTTCTGTTTTAAATGTTTAAAATACTAGACTTGGCAGTTCCCAGTTTCAAGTGATGCCTTAGTGCTTGTCTGAAGATTGAATTAAACCAATAATTGGGACAAGCCTTTGCAGACTGCCAGAAATAGTGCAAATTGAATCCACTTTAACTGCCCTGACTCACAGTGCTAGGAAATCATGGGAACTGTAGTTTATTGTGGCACCAGAGCTCTCTGACAGAGAAGGCTCAATGTCTCAGAAAAACAAACACCAGTTCCCATGATTCCTTAGCACTGAGCCAGGGCAGTTAAAGTGGACTCAATTTGCACTATTTCTAGCAGTATTAAGAAATATTTGTCCTCTTGTTAATGCCTTGGAAACTTTTAGCCTAATGCTCCTATTAACAGCTGAGTGGAAGGAAGGGTTTCTCAGAGTATCCTTAAAATAACAGTTTTACTTATGCACACACTCACAGACACACACATGTGTGTAAGTCAACTTAGCAAAATTACTGTGTGCAAAAAAAGGAGGGGGGATTTCATCAAATGTTAGTAGACAGGTAACATTGCCTCATGTTGATTACAACTACAAAGCATTTGAAAACAAGATTTTTACTTTCCAAAAAGAGCATGCTGGTCCCTGAAAATAGCCTAGGAAGGATATGCTGTCATACCTAACACTACATTAAATGCAAACTGAGAACCTGATATATTTTAGGAAAATTCAGCACTTTCTAGACTAATAAACATTTTACAATATTATTGCACATGTTCATTTTACTTTGTACAAATAATCATTCTCTTCACATCTAATAAGTCTGCCTGACACATTTGTAGCTTTATAAAGGTAACTTCAAGGGACCTGTTTTGGGGTACATTGATCATTTATTTATATAAACCCCAATGGCAAGTGATTTCAAAGACGTGGCCTTCTTTCTGTTGCTGTTTGTCATTACAAAGATGTAAATAGTTCAGCTGGGGTAATTAAATGTCATGTTTTATTCTTTTGGAGCATACCAATGGTTTTTGGGAGAAAAGGGGGGAGGTAGTGTCAGGCCAAGACTGGGCAGAAGAGGGAGACAGGCTGTGTTTGCAGAAAAGCTACAAGAATAATTATTCTGCAGTTGCTATAGGGCAAGAGTGGGACATATGTGACTCCCAAGGAAACAAATTTTAGGAAACATTTTTTTTAAAAAAAAATTCTCTGAAGATTTTTTAAGAGTCCCACTGCCATCATTCAACCACACTGTCAAATCCACATTGCTCAAATTAGCACCATTTCCACAGCTCACAACAAAGTGACATCACCACTACACAAAAAAACCAAACGTAACCCAAACAAAACACTGCAGTACTTTCATTAAAACATCAATAAAAAGGGGGAAGGGAAAGAGACACACTAGTCTTCAGAGTGATTAGGCTCTATGGCAGGGGTAGGCAACCTATGGCCCGGGGGCCGGATGTGCCCCCCCGAGGCCTTTGGACCGGCCCCAGGCTGGTCCTGCCACTACCGACGATGACCCCTGCTGTCTGCCACCACTGCCGCCGCCGCCCACCATAATGATATTGATTATAGTTGTTATTACTTGTTCTTCGGTTTTCTTGGGGAAATATCCACAGGGGTTTTGCCATGGCTTTTCTGGGGCTGAGAGAGTGTGCATGCATTTTTTAAAAAAAAATTTAAAAAAATTATTTATTTATTTATTTATTTGCTTTGGCCCCCCCCCCAATTGTCTGAGGGACAGCAACCCAGCCCCCGGCTCAAAAAGGTTGCCTACCCCTGCTCTATGGTGTAAGAGTGAACTCTAACACCTTTCTCTACCACATAGAGCCACAGAATTGTCCATAAATTTCAGCGGTGATTTCAGTAACAGCAGGAAATTCAGCCCCAGTTGTTACATCATTTAAAAAAGGTTCTAGAAGGAAATCTACCTTCCTTCATAAGTACATAAACCTTGATTCTCAAGTATCCATGATATAAGAATTTACATAAATTAGAAATGGTGTTGGTGTTACCTGTGAGGAATATAGACAAAAAGTGTCCTGAAGTACGTCTTGCCTTGCAGGGTTGGAAGTGTGGACAGATTGGTCTAAAACAGCAAAGGACAAAATGTTTATATCTGTCACTGACTGCTCTGATAAATGCTCTGGGGGGGGGAACCTTCTGCACAAATTGAAAGAAATGGCTGGTGTGTAAGGCATTCCCCTTGTAGGTTGCTTTAGAAAGCCACTAAAATCACAACATTTTCATTAAATGTATGTTGGTTGATCCATGAGCAAGAGTTAACCAAAAACAGAACTTTCATTTCACTTATGACCTCAGATCCTTATAAGCTCAAATGAAGTGCCAGGGAAATATGATATAAATAGGAAAATTATAATCACTTACGTAACAATGCAAGAATTTTGGAGCTTGGTTTACCATAAAAATGGATGTATCACCACCATATTTTACTGGGTCCAGATTACTTTCAAAGCAAACTGAACAAGATTAGCAGCTTTATAGAAACACATGTTAACTAGTTGTACAGGATTTCATTTTCACCCAAAACTATGTCTCCATCACTAGGGCTATTAATGTCATATGATACTTTGTAGGACAGTGGTTAAAATAAATTCCAGAAAATAGATTAAAAAGGGACTTAAATCTTCAGAGAGCCATTGAAACTTGAGGCCTCTGCTTAATGCTCAATTTCTCACTAATTTTATTGTCCTTTCAATTGTGTCTCCATCCACTTTGTGACAATCTAGGCTTCAATCCCCACTCCATCATCAGTGTTGTCAGATGAAGGGGGGTTGCAGACTGCCAGAAATAGTGCAAATTGAGTCCACTTTTAGGGTTAGGGTTAGTGCTAGGGAATCATGGGAATTGTTTTTTTTTTCCCCTGAGATATTGAGCCTTCTCTGTCAGAGAGCTCTGGTGCCACAATAAAATACAGTTCCCATGATTCCCTAACCCTAACCCTAACCCTAAAAGTGGACTCAATTTGCACTATTTCTGGCAGTCTGCAACCCCTGGAAATTAAGTTTTACATGAAGCAAAATAGAGAGTTGAAAGAAATGTGTTGGAGACACTTTTTTTTTTTAACAATCCAGCATGATTCTGGCTTTCAATTTTTAACAATGTCTGGTTTAACTACTCAGATTTAATCCACTGATAATTTTCTTTGGGAGATGGTATAATAATCTAATGATGAATTCATTCATGATAATCTTTCATCTGTTTTTGTCACCAAGTGAAAGAAAAACCAGCCACCTCACAGGTTAGAAAAGAATTTCCAGCATCCCCAGCCCAGCCTATTATGGCTATACTGGGTGCTATAATGCAAAGTAACTTTTCCAAGCTCTCTCTCTCTCTGTATGTGTGTGTTTGTATTTGGCAGAAAGAAGAAGAAACAGCTTCTGGCAATGCTGAAAAACAGGCATGGCTGTTTTTGGTGCTTAACTAAAAGTGACCACAGATCTTTCCTTATGGACAAGGAAACCACAGTTTTAATCAATGCCAAGTTAGCCAATCCCTGGAACAGCAAAGTGAGTTTTGTGTCCAGATTCTGGTTCACCATGTAGTGAGCAAAAGAAAGAATAATAAACCTCTAAAAGCATTACCTTAATAAAAGTGGAAAACAGGATAGCTGCCACAGAACTGAGACTCTCTCTCTCTCTCTCTCTGTATATGTGTGTGTGTGTGTGTATGGAATAAGAAACAAAAATAGAAGAAGCAGCCATGCCAACTCCTCACCACCCACCTTCAAATATATGCAAATTTATAATAGATAGATACTGTAGTTCTCTTTTTTAAGTTTTATTTAAATCAACAGACATTTAACAACAAAATTTACAAAAACATAAACTACAGAAAACAATCACATTAACAACATATAGTAACAACAATATTTACAAAACAACTGCTCTAAGAATACTTTTTCTTAAAATGGAAAAAAATGTTTCCAGGTGCTGCCAGCATAATAGTGATCATTAAGATACATATCACTGTTCTTCAGGCATGCTAAACCAACCGAATATTTTAAAAGGTTAACTAAATGTTACTTACAACATCTATTAGAATTTAATATTAAATAACAGCACATATACTTTCCACCAAGTAAAGTCCCACAGCAGGTTTGAACTTCTGTTTTATTCCCGTATTATCAATTACCACTTCTGTGGCTCCCATTTCTTTTAGTTCCCAACCCTCTCTCCTTTCAATTTTTTTGGATGTTCTAGTTACTAGATTTGGTAACATTTTCCCCTCTATATCATATTCATGGTCCCTCACATTTATTCACAACAATCCTGTGAGATAGATGATCTCACATGAAGCAAAAGGGGATGAAGTTGCCCATAACCACCAAGGGAACTTCATGGTTGACCTGTAATGTGACAGTGAGCCTCCCTGGTCTTGGTCCAGCAACATACCACATTGCATCCTCATACATGTCCTTAGTAAGTTTTGCCATTTTTATGCTTCTTTATATCTAAACTATACTTCAGCTGTACAATAGGATATCTGTCTATCTGGGGTGGTGTTGAGATAACGTTATATCTAATCAACAAGAGAGTTCCCATAGCTGCTCTCATTTGTAAGCACATCTGAATGGGAAGCTTCTCTAAAGCCAAGAAGTAACATCTGACCCACCTTCACCTGTTGCTATAAAGCAGAGTTGTCATGCAACACTCAAAATGCTACACCATGCTGGCTCCCAATAAGGTGTGAATCCTATTAAATCTCATATTAAAAACTGGAGCAGATCCATCACTCACCTCCACATTGCTCTCCTCATTCCTCCCCTCCTGCATGTCTACAAATTGTTTCTGACATGGTAATCCTAATATAAGGTTTTCTTAGCAAGATTTGTTCAGTGGCAATTTGTTCAGTTTCCACTGCCTTCCTCTGAGGCTGAGAGAGTATGTCTGGCCCAAAGTTACCTAACGGTTTTCCATGGCTCAGCAGGGATTTGAACCCTGATCTCCTAGAATCCTGGTCTAACATTCAACCACTACACCACACCTCCCCACTCTTAAAATGTTGTTTCCACAAAAAGCCTGCCTTTTCCCCTTTCCTTCCCAAAGAAAAGGAGATGTTCTTCCCTGCCTATCTGCAGAGCTTTATGGTACAGGAGCACTCCTGGACTTTCCTGGACTATAGCAAACCACTGCTATGGTCAAAACAAATGTGAGTTGCAACCCTGGTGGCAGTGGAATTTTTGGCATCCAATGCCAAATTCTGAAAAAAGGAGCAACGTGGCCCCTAGTACTTTGAGAGGGTTAAAAGTGCTTGTCCATGCTTGGACATTTCCCACCACAATGTAAAAATGCTGCCTTGGTGATTAAGTAGTGGAAAGAGAGGCATTAAGTTTGAACCTTTGCTCGACAGCTTGGCAGTTGTAGGTCCCATGGTGGGCTTGAGTTTTAATAGTCCAGAAGGCAACTAAAAGTTGATCATGGCTCTGAGACCTGGCTAAAAGCAGGCAGGGTGGAATGAAAGAGTGCAAGATAAGTCCCCATATTTCTAAAAGTAGAACTCCTGCTCAAGGAAAAGTGGGTCAGTTGGCTGAAAAGAGAAAACTAACCCACTTGAAAATGTATCCCTGAACTCAAAGGTTCACACTCTGCACATTTGAGGAGATTTATGAACACCTTACAAAAAAGCTGGTGGCTCTGCAGCTTCCTAAGAGCTGCACTTGGTCTGTTTATTCAGCCCTACGTTTTGTGTTCTGGCCCCACTTTCATTTCTATTGGAAACCTACCAGGAAATGTACAAAACCCTTTAAATCAGATCAAGCTACATTAAACTGGAGATTAATTTCATCTTAAGTGTTAGCTCCATTTTCATTTGCTCTTTCTGCCTGCAATTTGTCTTCCTAACAGGCACTAATTAATATGGCTGCATGGTCTTGGAAAACTGCCTTTAATCTTCAAAAAGTGTAAATACTCACAGTCACTAATGTAAAAATCTCACTCCACAATTTATCATCAGATTAGAAGACATAATTTTCTCATACAGCAGTTTACCAGCCAAAAGGGCTAAGAGCATAGGTGAAACTGAAAGAAATGGCACTTCTGATCTTGAAAATGTTGTATTTTATTTTTTTTCTATGCATAGTGCCAATATGCTTACAATTTCACATTCGGATTTCAGGGGCTCAATGGTCCTCTAATGTACTGGGGTGTAAACCAGCACAGGAAAAACAACAGCAAGTAATTGGGTTTCCAAACAGTGACCTTGAAATTTAAATATATTGCTCTGCAGATTACATTTGTAATGATCACTTCCTTTCATAATGATGCAAGATTATTTATTAACTGTGAGAGCACTATTCATGTGCCATGACTTAAGATGCATATTCATCAAACATTTATTTTTCATGTCTAGGGCTAATTTGTATTTGATTAAAGGATTTCCAAGCACTTCCAGGAAACGACTATTCACATTGAATTGGTTTGCACAAATTAAAAAAAAAGAAAAGAAAAGCTTGATGAGCTTTGCCAAAAAAGTGGTTTTAAGTGCATAACCTTTTATTTTATGCATTGCAATGAGGACATTTCACTTCCTCAAATTTTAATCTATACCATGCAAATAATTAAATGAATTCACATTATAGAAATAAGGTCAGATGTTCAAAATTCTTCAAAAGTTCCCAGGAGACAACTCATTGGGTTGCGTGCATATAACCAAGAAAGTAATATTCCTTGGGTCATAAAAAAAACCCTGAATTTTTAAAAAAATGTCAGCTGGTATGTGTGTGTATGTGTGTTTAAGGTACATGATTTTCTAGCCCTCACTGTTGTGAAGAAACAATAAATGGGAAGAATTACTCCAATGGTATACTAAGAATGGGCGGGATGCAGTGGCTCATGTGGTTAAGATATTGACTCTGTTGATTGATTGATTGCAAGATTGGCAGGTTGTAAGTTCGAGGCATGGGTGCTAGATCCCATCACTAGTCCCAGCTTCTGCCAACCTAGCAGTTCAAAAGCATGCAAATGCAAGTAGATAAATAGATACCACTTTGTGGGAAGTAAACAGCATTCTGTGAAATCATGCTGGCCACATGATCACAGAGTAGTCTCTGACAATGCTGGCTCTTCAGCTTAATAATGGAGATGAGCATTGACCCCTATGGTTGGACATGACTTGACAGTCTTGTCAATGGGGAATATATTTACCTTTTTACTACTAAAGATTTCCAACATTCTGCATGCTGTTAGTGCAGCAATGATAATAATTAAGATTGTGGATGTACCTACATTACAGAAACAAAGCAGTTTACTATTATCATTGCAGCAGTAGCAGCATGCAGAATATTGGAAATCTTTAGTAGTAAAAAGGTAAAGGTATTCCCCGTTGACAAGGTTGTCTAGTCATGTCCAACCATAGGGGGTGGCGCTCATCTCTGTCACTAAGCCGAAGAGCCAGCATGACTTTATTGTCATGACTCTATCCTACAGAATCCTGGGATTTGTAGCTTTTGAAATATTTAGGCTTCTCTGTCAGAGACTCTGGTGCCACTACAAACTAAAAGTCCCAGGATTCCATAAGATGGCAGTTAAAGCGATGTTAAAGTGCATTATTTCTGCAATGCAGATTCAGCCCTTGTCTTGATCCTTCAAAATAGAGACTGTAGTAAAGAATTCAAAAAATTACTAAAACTTGGAAGGGCAGCTATGAAGGAGTGAGAGGAGATCCTCAAATATATAGAGACATCATTAAATACCAAAGTCAGAATCATCCAAGCCATAGTATATTTTCAATTTCTATGTATGGGCATAAAAACTGGACAGTGAAAAAAGTTGACAGGTTTAATTTGCCCCCTCTCAGCTGTCTTTTTGCTGATAGGCAAAGCTCTTCCTGTTTAAACAGACCTCCAATCTTAACTGACTAAGGAGTGGGATATTCAATAAAGTGTGCTGGATTTTCAGTACACAATGTGTATTTTAAGTATTTTAACTGTTTTAGTTGGATAGATGGTTTAATGCTTTTTTTTAAAAAAAATGTACTCTATTTTTTAAAGCTATTTTGTTTTGATTTATATTGTAAGTCACTTTGAGTCCCATTTGGGAGAAAAGCAGGATATAGATCAAACAAATATAATGGGCCCTCCATATCCATGGATTCTTTATCCACATACTCAACTATTCATGGCTTGAAAGTATCCCAAAAATGTATAATTTCCAAAATGCAAACCTTGATTTTGCTATTTCATATAAGGGACACCATTTTACCATGACATTGTATATACTGGGACTTGAGCATCCATAGATTTTGGTATTCACTGGAGGATCCTGGATCCAAATGCCAGCAGATAAATAAGGTCCACTGTAAATGAATAAATTATGAAAGCCAAAATGACTAAACTGAGGCTGTTGTGTGTTGGACATATCATGAGACAATGTCATGCACTGGAAAAGATGATAACGTTTAGTAAAGCAGAAGGCCATAGGAAAAGAGAAAAAAACATGCTCCAGGTGGGTTAATTCAATCAGGCTACAGCCTGACTTTGCAAGATATGAACAGGGCAGTTGATGACTGGAGCTATAGGAAGTCTCTCATTTATAAGATCGCCATTAAGTCAAAGTCAACTTGATAGCAAATAACAGCAACATAGGGTTTTTTTTCTATGAAGTCAAATCTCAATCTTTGTAAAACTGTGGCAGGGAGGGTTAATATATACCATGTTTCACTGCTACTATCCTGACCCAAATCAGCCCTGCCACCATCTATGGCTGCTGTCTGACAAAGTTTAAAAAGACTGGCTATCTGATCATAGATGTCTGTTGTCTCATCTAGCTTAGCCCCAAGGTAACTGGATCTCCAGCTCCTTTACCTCTTTGCTTTGTAAAATAACTATTCCCAGCTCTTTCCTTCCATTGTTGTACTTTTTCCCCTTCAAAGCACAAGACAAAACTGAGATATATCTTGCACACAGAAAGAATTTTCCCCAGCAGATAAAAGCATGTCCTCTTCCCACTCACTCCTTTTCTTTTCTTTTTTCATTGTGTGTGTGTGTGCGTGTGTGTGCGTGTGTGTGTGTGTTATTAGACCATCCAGATATTCTGGATAAATAAATTTATTCCTGAGAGCACTTAGGACAAACTCTGAGGCTAACAAATACTTCACCATGTAACTATCCAGCTGTGACAAATATTTAAGAAACCTGACACCATATGCCTAAGAAATTATTCATTTGCAGGGCTCGTTGCCTTTGAGGATCAACTGTTTTATTTGTAATTTTTGACATTTCCCTTCTTTTCCTGTTTGGCCTGTGAATTTGAAGGGGTTGTAAACACGTATTCCAGCTCACCGCCTTAAGGCACCACATTGTTTGTCAAGATGCCAAGGCGGGGAGGAGATGCAGGGGGTGGGGGGAAAGGACCTGAAAGGTCCTTTGGAGCATTCCGGTCTGTAGGGCTTGTAAAGATAGTATTTGTTTGTTTTCTTGATCTGACTTTGAATCTGGCTCTAGCATTCACCCTTCAGGGAAAAGCAACTTTTAAATAAATGCTTCAAGATTGTGCAAACATTTCAGTAGTCTCAGAGTCCTGGCGTTCTGGGTCATGGAAGGAAGAAAATACATGCCACTCAACAAAGAAATGGAAATGATAAAAGATGGATGATGCTGTAGTCATAATTTTTCATGGGCTATATGATGAGGGATCCACAAGTTTCAAGACTTGCCTGCAATTGAACCATTTTTTGAAATGTTTCAATCTGCAGTCTTGCCTTTATAGATGAATGAGAATATCACCAGCTCTCTTTTAATAAGGGCTGTCAACCATATAAAGCATTTTGGTTTTCTCAGTTCTGACTATCTGGATCATTGTATCTTCCTCTAATGCTCTCAGAAAGTCTCCATCTGGCATCTTAAACATTTTGTACTGTTGTATCAGACTACAATGCAGTTACCAATGTCTTGCAATGACAACAGAGATATGGTTTTCCAGTGCTCTGGAAAACATGGTGGTACACATATTAAATATTTATTTGTGGTATAGCAAGCATTAAGCACAATTC